CATTATTGAACGAGCTATTGTCCTTTTAACTAAATAGACTTGTTTGATAATTCAAGTTACATCCAAAATAATAATATGCGGAACAGTTGAACCATTGTTGAAATACCCAAATTGCCAAATTTCTGTCGCAATTCCTCAACCAAAATATGGTTAAAAAATCCAAACTACCGAGCTCATGTCGTCATTTCTTAACTTAGCTGTAATTGTAATATTCAAACTGTTGAGCTGTGGTTGAAATGTCCAAACTGTCGAGCTCCTGTCGCAATTCCTCAGCCAAACTATGATTAAAAAATCCAAACTACCGAGGTCACGTCGCCATTCTTTATTGCGCTATAATTGTAATATTTGAACTGTCACTGTGGTTGAAATGTCCAAATTGCCGAGCTCCTGTCGCAATTCCTCAACCCAAATTGTAAAGCTACCCGTATGGCGTCTCGTCCGAGCAAGATTTTAAAGAGGCGCATCTCGTATATCGTGTCCATCTTTTTGCTTACCTCAACCATCATTGCCTTCGGGTTTCGTAACTAGGGTTCAATTTTGACCGTTAGATCTTTATTGGTCTATAAATAACCCCTTCTTTCTCCTTCATTATTTTCTGCCTTTTCCTGTTTTCAAAACCTAATTTGGCAAAAAATCTTCCTGCAATTCCCGGTGTCTTATCTGCATGTTTTCCGACAGCGACGTACTTCTCTTGGTATTTCAATGTTTTCGTCCCTCGTTTTGCTTGCCATTTGTTTTTATTTATTTATTTTTTTTTTTTTTTGTTTTTCCGGCAACATAAATTTACAGCGGATGAGTTTTCCGGCTATTGCGCCCTTAAACTCTAACTTATGCTTGTTTGTCGTGTGTTTGTTTGTTTTTGTTGTGTTTTTTTTAGATCCCAATTCTACTGATGTTCTACCCCTACCCGGGACACGTCCCTTAGATCAAATTTTCAACTACGTGATGAAGTTGACAGGAACATTCCTTAGGAGAGTCTAACTCCTATGGCCGTCCTCAAGGCCTCCATTTGTCTGCCTCCGAACTAGTGCTCGTCAAGCGAACATTACCGTAGGTACCGACCCCTCAGTGAACCCTACCATGACCTTAGCTTCCAATGTCGTGGTAGTTGCCCGTCCCAAGCCTTTCTTTTATGCCGACGAGCCCGAAATTAAAGCTTTCATGAGATTGTGCGAGCTTCCGCCCGATTGGGTGTTTCAAGCGCCCTCTCCAGGTAGCTATAGGCCCTTTATCTCATTTTCCAGAAGGTCCTTTACCTCATTTGTCTATAGGCCCTTTACCTCATTTGCACGAAGGTCACATAACCTCTTTCCGAAGGCCACATAATAGCATATCACAATTACTTTATCTTGCGATTAAAAATAATAAACGCGTAGTAAGAATAACCCCACCTCGACTTGTTGAATTCAAAATGAATGAGTAATCGATGCTCGTCTCACAAACTCGACTCCTTGAAATCTACATGTAAAATTATTTAAAATAAATAATTATATTCTACTCAAATCATAATTTAAATATAGCTGTTAAATTTTAATTTATTTAATTAAAATCTCAAGTAAGGGTTTCGGTTTCGACGATGAGAAAAATCGGGGTTCGGTTGCTGATGGCACTAGGCGTTGCGTCAGGAGACCTAGGTCTAGGAGCTGTGGGTCTACTGCTGGGCACCGGACGTCTACAAGCGCACACGAGAGCTGCAGCCTCGATTGGGAACACCTGGGACGCTGGCTGCAGCGCTGGGGCGCTGGGCACTGCGAGCAGAGCTAGGTTATTGGGAGCAGGGGATCTGGATGGTACGTTGCGCAAACGGGTCGCGTTGGGAGCGCTCACGAGTATCGCAAGACTTGGAAGCCAACAAATATCACCATCGAACATAGACACCTAGGAGCACGAGCGCCTGCAAGCACCGGTACTTGGGAACGTCTTGGCACAGGAGACTGCAGGCGCTAATGTTGCGGGACGGACGCCAGACTGCAAGTAGGCCGAGGGGGCGTCTCGACGATGGTTCAAAGGTTTGGGATGGCTCGATAAAGGATCGACTGAGTGTTTAAATTGAGAAAAATATTGATTTTGCTCGACTAAAATACTCAAAATCTCACGAAAATTCAAGGGTTCAATGAGTTCAAACGGCTAAGGAAAATAAATCAACAAGGCACGAAAATTCTAGGTTCTCTCAACTGAATTTAATTGAAATACCCAAGGCGCAAATTAAATGGGCTTTGGACTCCGAAACCTTAACTTTCACCGAGAAAAAGAAGGAAGAACTCGGATCTAATTGCTTGAATTCGACCGTCGTGATTCTCACTCAAGTGTGAGGGACTCGCTCCGAATCTCGGTAGCTGGTTGTACTCGCTTCAGCCGGGAACAATGCTCGTCCTCGTGGTCAAGTTCTCTCGATCAGGCATCAACCATGTCTAGATCGCGTAACTTCAGCCACAAAAAGTCAAAACTGAAAAGAACGATACAAAGAATGAGAGAGATAAAGAGAGAGAGATCTTGATAAAACAGATGGATATATAATGTGGGGAGAGAGATGGGTGGTTATCTTGGGAGAAAATAGGTAACAACTCTTGACCAAGGAACTCTCCTTTCTTCTTTATTTATTTGATTCTTGTTGTTTAGGTTAATTAGCCAACCAATTTTAATTGATATAACAATAGTAATAAAAATAATGTTAATATTTATAATAACTTGTAAGGTCATCCCCCTCCCCCTATATATTAATCCAGAACGCGCTGAGCCTACGTGGCTGATTCTGGTGCTTCGTAATCCTATGTGGCAAAATTACATACTTTGTTATTAGGCTTGGGTAAACTTTATTTTAATTCCAAACCAAAAATAATTAGATTTTGGATTACCATAAATACGTTGATTATTTATGGTCATGTTCATGTATTGTTTGCATTTTAATATCATTCCTTATATTATAACTACTGAATTGTATATATATTTTAAAAGTTAATAACTTTTGTATTTTTTTTATCAATTTTACATATGTAATATATCAAATTAATATTCTTTTGATGAGCTTCGATTTAACATCTATATTGTATGTATATAAAAATATATAAAAAAAATAATTTATATTTATCTTTATAACAATAATAAAATTATTTTTAATATTAATTAAAAAAATAAAATTAATTATCAACTAATATATTTATATTTCAAGTAGTTATATGATATAAGTTACAAAAACTAATATAATATAATACATGTAAGTCATAAGTAACGCATATCATTTTAAAATATATAGTAATATATTTTTTTTTTGTAAAAAAGTAAACTAAATTTAATATAGTTTTCTCATTAATTTTAAAATTTAAGAATAATTTTTTAACAAGCACCCGTGTAATACACGGGTGTTGTACTTGTTACTTATATAAATGATTATGCTTATCAAATAAACTGAGTTATGCTTAATTAAAAAAAAATATATAATAATGGGATGTTACAACCAGGGTCCGGGCATCCATTTAATAGAGTTCCATACTTTCTTCCTCCTTAAGCTACACTATCAAATCACATGAAATGTTACAAGGGTACGGACTTGGGTAAAGGGCATCCATTTAAAGGCAACATTAAATCACATGAGAACAGCAAATCAACAGCAACACTATCAAACAGTACCCTCAACTCATATAACGCCACTACATTTTGGAAACTAACTGGGAGAACATATAATATGACTCCTTCAACACAAAAATAATAAAATCATAGATTGATATCAACACTAACTGGCAGCTGCCGTCTGTGTTGCACGCATCACAATTATTGCACTGCAATAGCTCAAAATTAATCGTTTTCAATCACACCGCAAAAGCTCAACTGAACTAATATCTCGGAAAGAGTACGAAAAATCTATAAGTTATATCAAATGCGAACTAAACAATGGGATCCGAAACTCGTTAGTGGACTTCTGCACGAACTAAACAAATAACATCTTCCTAGGAGATCATACACCAAAGGCAGCTTAAGGATTACTTGAGCAAGATCTCACAGGTGTGCATTACTTAGGACAAACACAATGGTACAAAGTGCTCCAATTTGCAAACAGTTGCAGTGAAAATTCAACTTTAATAACCGTAAGTTTTGAAGCAGTAGCAGCAAAGCATCCGAAGTGCAAAAAGCCCCATGCATTAAACATCATGAAATAGCCTCCTAATTTGGTCCACAGTTGAAGGCATTAATGTGATCGGACAGCGCTTGTGCTACATCCACGGATAACACAAGATTGTGAACAAGATGAAAGGCTTGAAAGAGTACGTACAATTCAGAGTGTTTCTTCTTTTTCTTTTTTTTATTTATAAAGAAGATACAGTATAAAATGTCCTTGGCAAATTTGTAATCATAATTAGATGTCCTAATGACAAAGGATTGACAATCCAAAGAATTTTGAAAATTAGGATTCACCTACAAAAGAATTTTGAAATATACACAATAACAAAAAGAAGATATAGATAACTCAAGTGATGGACACTATTAATCTCGTGTATAAGTGATTTTATAAGATATATGTACATATGTTCAGGTTCTCACATGGGATAACATTTAAACTTTGTATACATATGCAGATGCACATAAAAAGAAATGAATAGTAATTAGTACACAAACCAAAAGATTTATAAGTACGTATGTGAGTTGTTGTATTGGAAAATTATGATTCTGAGAGAAAATATTTAAACATAGCAAACACAAATTTTTCGGAAACTTTTTTTTACTATCACAGCACGAATTGCCAATATTTAAGTAAATTCAGGCGACATTGGGTCTCCTTGGAGCATTATAGTTACTAGAAAGAAATGAATTACTAAACCAAATACTCTTCATAAGAATACTGTTGCACGATAAATTATTCCAACAAAAATGTCAATAATAATGTTTAGCTTCAAACTATAAAAATTCCTGGCCGTATAACAGGCATAAAGACATACTTTCCAGCATAAAAACTTGTAAAATAACGATTTAAATGGAAAAGAATAATTTTTTCCTTGCAGCGCCTTACAAATCAACAATGTAATAATGTGTGACTTATGTGGAGAATCAAAACCTCAAAAATATTTTTAGTGGTCACCAACACTACAAAACAATCGTTACGGGATATATCTCGATGAGCGCTAAAAGTGAAAAACAAGAAAGTATATTTAACACAAACTTTCAAAGAGTTTGTATATGGGACAAAAGGGCTAAAATGCAATATGGTCCTATTAAATTGTGAATGTAGCATTTTAGAGTGACATAACATTTTAAGTCCAGTTTGAGGGCTGAAACAAAATTCCCAATTTATATGATTTGGGAAAAAAAATTTATTAGCAATGTAATTTAAAATTTCGTTGCAAAAATTGCACCAAATTATTAAATTACAATACTTGACATGATTTATGTCACTTCAGTGGAACCTAAATTGCTCCCTTCATAATTTAACATAATTTATCAGACCAAAATTGCATTTTAGCCGGACAAAAAAGCTAAAAGTTAAGATCAAAGCTAAATGCCAAAATCATTCAAAAATTTGGCAACAGTACATCAGAATGTAGTTTGCATGTATATAAAGAAAAAACACAAAAAAAGGGGATTGTTAGAATTTGGTCAAAGCTTATTATAGTCGGTGTTTGGTCAAAGCTTTTTTGAGCATTCAAATTATGAACTGCAAAGACCATTTGTAAATCCTATTTGTACACTGTGCACCAGTAGATATGGAAATACTCTTATAGTACATACTTTTCGTGCGATGTTTGAATTTTAGAAGATATGTCCATTGCAAATGGAGCTGGAAGAGTCATTGTTGACAATTCTCCTGACATAGTGCTAATAATGGACTAGATCAAAATGGCTCAATAAAATTCTAGTGCTTCTTCTATTAGTGAAGTTTCTAGAAAAAAAAATATATATCAAACGACGCAATGCACTTTGGGTCGCTACAGAAACAACCTCCTTGTATAATTACAAGGGTAAGGTCTGCGTACAACTGACCCCCAAGCCCCAACAAGTTGGAAATATACTGGGTATGTTGTTGTTGTTGTTGTTTGAATTTTAGAAGGAATTACATGCCTCCGAAACATTAAAGGGTTCCAAGTTTTATATGTAGTGTAACACTGGTGATGATTTTCACGGAGAAGTTCAAGACAAATTGTTGGTAGAAATACCTCTTCAAAAGTGTTCATGACAAATTGTTGGTAGAAATACCTCTTCAAAAGTATCCAACAAAGAAAGTTCAGTGTTCAACAACACAACAAGGGAGATACTCTTTATTGATGTCTTGTATGGAACTGAAAAAACTTTACTATACTACATATAGAACATAAATTTTTCATCCTTAATAACCCGATAATTTTATATATTTTTTTTTAATTAATAAGTCAAAAATTTTGTTCGTTCTCACTTCTCACTATAGGAAACTAAAAATCATTGAAGACTGGACAAGATTCAATATGATGAACAATAAAAAGAGAGAAAAAAAAGAAAACCAAGCATATGACCAATTTTAGACTCCCTAAACAAGAGAAATAAATATAAACAAATTTATGGCAAAAACATAGAAGAAGAAACTCTCACCTGACTGGCATATTTGAATATACAAGTATAGCAGAAAACAAATCCTGAAGCAGCCATTACTGATGGATTTGTACGCTTCTGCAAACACAATGGGCATATTGTACGATCCGGGGGCAGTGGAATCCCCTCCTCTGCAACCTGTGTCATCGAAGGTGTTAACTCATGAAGCGTTATTCAATCACATGAAACAAATAAAAGTTAGTCATGTTCCTCTCACATGAAAAGGAGATCACTAGGAAATAGGTTCCCAACCTTACCCATACGTCCAAATAGTGCTAAATTTTCGCAACAGGGTTGATATCATAAATTACCAGTGAACTGAGTTTACATTGGATTAAAGTTCTTCATATATATATATATGTATATATATATAAATATATATATATATATATATATATATATATATATTCAGGTTGTAATGGCTATACTGATCTCTGTCTCAACCAGATATATGCCCAAAGAAGTTCGAGATGTGTGAAAAGCTCTTCTGTAGCTACCAAATATATGAGAACCTCTCATCTGACAATACCTTTTTGTCTTATATTTCCGGCGATATTATTGTATACCATCTTATCTTGTGATACTTAGACGCGAAAAAGTCAATGGGAGGCATTAATGCCATACAAGTTATTATCAAGCCCAGATAGTGCTCTCTGGCCTGTTTGACTGTTTGAGATAGTCTTCTTATCTTCTAGCTAGCAATAGCATTCCCAAATTGTCAAATGCTCTCTCATGTTCTTCTTATGGCCATAGGCGGCTGTAAGGTGCCCATCTCGACGATAGCTCCGCTTATGACGGCTCTAAGGTCATCTTGTGTGTAGGTTCGCGATGGTAAACTAGGGGAGTCAGACCTGGGTGGGAGTTGCAACCCAAAACTCACCCTATAACGAATTTTTACAAGCAACAAGCTGAAAGCTAGAATTTTATCTCAAGGTTTTCTGGAACTCTGGTACCATGTAGAGAGAGAACTGTTTCTATATTCCATATGATGAGAGTACAAATTACACTCATATATATACAAGCCTAGGTGCAAATAAAAGAAGGAAAATAAATCAACAAGGCTAATCTACGAAATTGCAATCCTCCACTAATTGGCACCCTAATCTATGTTATATAAACAATAACAACCAGAATGGATTGACAATATTATAATAACCTAAAATGCATTTGCACATTAATGCACACTACTTGAATGGGCTCACATTATTAGCATTTTAAAAAATTAATAATACTCCATAAACTACATTACTTTTCAGCTACTACACTACATTATAACTTTATGTTACACTCCTTCAGCTATGACACTCAACTTTAATTTGCAAAAAAAAGAAAAAAAAAATGTTTGCCATTAAATTTATGTCTATTTCTTTTCCAACATCTCAGCCTAGAAGTTCCAAGTGGCCTTGACTTTATGGCTTTCTTTGGGTTTTCTGACTAATTCAACAAATAATACGGTCTCGCGACAACGAAACATAGCTAAACATAGATTGTTAGTTATCCACTTCTAACTATAGATTACCTGCCGAACCATGAAGCCAAAATTTTAGAAAAATTAGCAACCGGCTGGCTATACATAGATCATGTCAATTGAGTAAAACAATCTTGCTACGCCAGAAAATCTCTGAACTGCTACAGTGACATGAAATGACCGTAAAATCAATTTTGTAGGATGCTTCCTGGCAGATGAAGAAAAACAAGCAAAAACAAAAAAAAAAAAAAATGAACAAACAACACTTTCTCAGTGATCCACTGACCTTTGGAGCGGGAGGGGGTGGTGGAGGGGGATATACAGTCGGAGCTGACATTCTTTCTTCCGCAGACTGGTACCACCATTCCATCATCTGTTTGATAAGGTATCGTATCAGCCAGAAAGGACATAAAACATATGGAGTTGGATATTTGTAGTCAATGCATGAGGGACTTTCCACAAACCTATAAACTTCAACTGTTCTCTATCTAATTTGTAAGCTCCCAAGTCGTCAACTATTAGAAATTGGTCATAGATAACTATTTAAGTCTAGTTCGGCATGTAGATTAACAATTGTAGTTATTTTAACTTAGTCCACAATATGTTGGAACTACTATCAATTCTGAGAGTAGAGCACAAAATCGTCAATGGAAAAATGAAACTGAATTTTATTACATGACAATGTGAAATAATAAAAGTCAAAAGGACTTCATAAAGAATTTCTGTGGACAAAGTGTCAAGACAAAGGGAGAATATATATGATAATTTGTAGAAGATGGCGTGGAGTTCATTGAGAAAGGAAAGAATAACGAGGATTCAATGACAACTAAAAAACTAAATTTAAGAAAGAAGACCAGTTGCTTGTTCCTACTTTTCTGGTATTTGACTATGTGTTTTAACGAACTTCTTGTTTCTTTCTGCTTTCCTTGGTGGCGTATGAGCTAAAGATGTGTTATGTACTTGTCAGTGTTCTTGCCTTTTTGAGAGTATTTGATGTTATTTTTGCCATTTGGACTTAAACATGTAATTGCATCATCTATATTATACTTTTCTACATTTTAGCGTCGTATAGCTGAGGTATCGCCTCTCACCACATGGCCAGACCATGAACAAATCGCCATTCACCATTTAAAACTAAGCTTATTATGATAGAAAATGTTTTCAGCTAATCCAACTTGATATTTTTTATATGAATAGATAATGTGTTCTTAAGTTTGGTTGTATTTGTGGCATTGTGGCTATTGTAACAATTCGTACCCCCATTAAATTAAATATTTTTTGTTAAAAAAATTAATAGGTTATTTCCATATATCATATTTAAAAGTAATACACATCAACAAAATTTCTTAACTTACAACTAATGCATCACAATAATTATACCTATTTCGCATTATATTACACCAGTATGATGCAGGGGCCAAAGCACTAGCGACTAGCCAATTAATATGCTAAGAACTTCAGAGTCAAATACTTCCCCTACGATCTTGCTAATCAATTATACTCCCAGATCTGCAATTTCTTTTGTCAGTTAATCCCTCTTAGGTTCATAATATTTTGGTTTATTACTTTCCACCAGACTTTCATTAAATTTAAATAGACCGGCCCTCTAACTCAACATCTAATTACACTAGCCTAATGTCATATTTATGTGGGACATGATGTAAGAGGTTAGACGAGAGAGAGAAAGAGAGATACTAACTTTGAAGAAAAACACAGCTGCAATCAAACCAGTCTGAGCATAGTCAAGAACGGCATATGCACAGCTGAGCAAACCACCTTGTATTGCCTAAAAAGCAAATAACATGAAACTTGAAAAATTCATAAACTAGCTACAGAAGAATCGTGAACATTTTTAAAGAGAAGACTAGGATGAAAGATAAGATGTTCCTTATCACAACCTGGAACAGAGTCAGAACTCTCTATAAAGTCAATAAGCTACACACCTTTAACCAAGGAGACCCACGAAGCCTCTCACGTTCGCGACTTCTTATTTTTGAAATTCTAGAAGACGTATCCATCTGTCTTGACATTGAAAAGAAAAGTTTTGAAATGATACAAGGACATTAACAGAAATACTAACAACAATATTTTTATACGTCGAACAAAATCAGCAATTAAAATGAGATGACCAGCGCGTGCAATTTGCCACAAACAGAAATATGTAGCGATATCCATACAATATTGGCTCACTGTTATCATATCTTAAATATAGAGCAATCAAGTCACAACTATCATGCATATTTAGTACTCATTATTGGATAAGATGCACAAAAACACATGCCCACTGATTTTGCGAAATATATGTTTTTGCCCACTGATTTTACGAAATATATACTGAACCAATTGCAGAAACAGGGACTAGAACCTCCTATATATAAACCCTGTATGAATACTTCGAGCAAGAGATCAAGGGAATGATAAAAGTAAGTCCTCAAATACCCAGACGTTAGGTTAACATGAGAAGCAAGAGGCAGAGAAAGGAAAAATGGAAGTTCTTCAAATCAAGGTCAATTTCATGAATATTTAAAATGTAAGGAAACGAAGGCAGGCAGATGAGACTTCACTATACACAGAAAGAGCAATATGCATCTCTATTCCATATCATTTTAAAAGAAGTACCAACTCCTGCCCAGTTGCTCGACAAACATGAATGCCAAGTGCGTGTAATCCTAGGGAGTAGAAACCAGTTGCATCCAACAAATATAACAGCTGGTAAGCAAATGATAATCCTGCACACAAGAATACTCTCTTTATCAGAAGAATGATAGAAACAAATTCAAGTAGGAAATTGCAGACAGCATGCCCCATGATATGTGTAGCCTTGGTTGTGTTTAATGACTTGGCGAGCCCTCTTAACAATATTTGTAAAAAATATTACAAATGAAAAGTTCAACTGAAGATCAAATTCATAATCTCTTGAAGATAATGGGCATATAAAGGCGTAAATTAAATGACAGCCTAAGCACTATGTTTGTTTCACTCAATTTCAACTAGTAGTAGTACAGCACCCATGTATTACCCCCGGGAGATAATTGAGAAATTTATACTTGCAAGATTTTGAAAATATAAAAATAGAAGTTTTACTTTACAGTTTCAGATACTTTAAAAAATGCATCATTATCTTTATCCAAAATGACATCCGTCACCCGTAAGACTTGCTCGTCCTGTATTATAATAATTTTTCTAAACCATATCACAGGCTATCATATAAAAAATAAATAAAGAAATAAATGATAATTTATTATTTTCCAATTTTGGTAGATAGATAATTTAATTTTTATTTTACAAAAACTATTTTATGTATGCAATAAGGATATCGAATCGAAGATCGTTGATTAATCTGATATAACATATATGAAAAATCGTTAACAAATAAATGGTTCAAAATGTATTTATTAGTTAAGTTAACCAAACCAAGTGTTTTATAAGTTTAAGAGTCCTAATAAGGTATGATAAATGTCCAGATCTACAAGACTACTCTAAATAACCAAAAATTCACATATAAGATTACAAAACCGTGTCCATCTTTTCCTCACAAAAGAAACTATCCGAGATATTTGTGCACCCATGAGCCATAAGTATTTAAAGTCAGTCTACAAGGTCTAATATGGATTCATAAAAAAAAGACCTCCCTTTTCCGTAAATTACACACCATAAATTACTATTGGAGGCTCAACACACCAACGGAATAGTTTCAACGGTAAAAAAATATTAAAAATCCAACTGGGCACGATTTTAACTCTAAACATCGAAAGTCTAACAACTTTGCTCAGTTCAATCAAATATAATTAAAAAAAACTCATGTTACATGGACCTTCAGTTCCAGCATGCAGCCAAGGGTAACAAGCACCAACAGTCTTCCGCAACATCCTGATCCAACGGTCTCTAGTAGATGCTTCGATCTCTGAGCTGCCCCTTGAGCCAAAAGGATTATAGCCTCGACCAATGTAGTTGTCAAACTGTTCATCACTATCCCCCCAAAGACTTGCCTGAAGAGAAGCTTCCCTTTCTCTATCGTAGATAGATTTAAGCCTTGACTTCAAATATGGTAACACAACCTTCAAAATAGCAGATGAACCATTTTTTAGGTTCTAGAAAGTTGGATTCCCGAAGCAAAAGCTCAAGCAGCAAACAGATCTTTTGTGACAGAAGATATTATTACAAAGCCATTTATCAATCCCAGATAAATTAGTGTTGTACCACAAATGTGCAGAGGTGAACCTCCCAGCAAGATTTAACAGCCTTGAAAAAGGTGAAAGAGCATAGTGCATGCGGAACATATAGTTTGCAGGTGAACCTCCAAAGAAACTAAGCAGGTCATATTACATGTTCACATACATCTTTAGAGAACTAATTAGATTTGTGCATCTACTCTGGGTAATATGGGTTCAAAGATATTAAATCAATTTTATGCGCGAGTTTATTATTCAACTAAATATTTACTCATGTTTTTCTGCTCCATCCATCGAAGGTTTCGGGCTGATGCCTATAGTGAGGGTCTCATGTCCATCACAAATTATTTAACTACTTAATGTTATACACTTGACATTTATGATTGGACCGAACTCAGAATTCCCAACTGCTAAATAATTTAGGATAAGGTTGGATCTTAACCTATGGAAATTTGAAAAATCGGCTACAATTTGATAGACAATATGTGAGTCAACTTGTTCCATCTCTTTAACACCACAACACAAGTGGCCTGTGTCAAGGGTGACCACTTAAAAATCAGTATATTCAACTGCCAATAATGTATTGCGTTATGTTACAAACCTTAGGGTTTTGGATGAATAGAATAACGACAAGTGAGGATGGATGCCCATATATATAGACTTAGGGTCTTAAGTGAATATGGGCTGGGCCTATAATAGTTAACACCCCCTTCAAACTCAAGGTGGAGGTGGAGGATCCGAAGCATTGAGTTTGAGCAAGTGAAGCCGGTGTTGCTCTCTAGTTTGTGCTTTGGTGATAGAGTCAGCCACTTGTAGTTCCGACGGCACATACTGAAGAATAATTGTTTTCTGATGACAGTGAGATCGGGTAAAGAAAGCATCAACACCAATGTGTTTTGTAAGTTCATGTTTTACTGGATCATTGGCAATTTGAATTGCTCCAGTATTATCATAAAGAAGACGCGTAGGATCATCACATGGAATAAAAAAATCAGCTAACAACCATCGAAGCCATATAATTTCTGAAGTGGTAGTAGCAAGTGCTCGAAGTTCGGCCTATGTACTAGATCGAGATATAGTTGTCTGGTTCTTGGACTTCCATGTAAGGGGAGAAGAACCAAGAAAAATGTAATAACCAGTGACAGAACGACGATCATGACAGAACGACGATCAGTTGGATTACTCGCCCAAGTCGAATCTGAGTAAGCATGAAGTTGAAGCGGACTATCACGAGCATAAAATAAACACAGAGATAATGTTCCCCTTAAGTATCGTAGCACGCGAAGCAAATGCCCAAAATGAACTGAGCACTCACAAACTGACTCAATATATGAACTGCGTGAGCAATGTCAGGCCTGGTAACAGTAAGATAAACAAGACTGCCTACAATATGGCGATAGCGAGAGGGATCCTCAAGAGGAGTACTATTAGTAGGACGAAGCTGTAAGTGAAGATCCATAGGTGTAACTGTTGTCCGATTATCAGTAATACCGGAACGAACAAGAAGGTTCTGTATGTATTTGGACTGAGAAAGGTAATAGCCCGAGGCAGAATGCATCACCTCAATGCCCAAAAAGTAGCTAAGGGGGGCCAAATCAGACATCTGAAATTGTTGACCAAGTTGCTTTTTGACATGGGAAATATGTTCTTCATCATATCCCGTAATCAACATATCAACATATAGAAGAAGTAGAGTACGCCCACGTGAAGAGAGATGAATAAACAAAGCAGGATCATGATCACTAGGGGAGAAACCAGGAGCCCGTATGACAGAGACAAAACGCTCAAACCAAGCACGACGAGCCTGTTTGAGACCAAATGCACGACGAAGACGACAAACATGTCCAGAGGGGGCATCAACACCCAGTGGTGGCTGCATATAAACTTTCTCATGCAAATCACCATGAAGGAAAGCATTCTTCACATCCATTTGAGATATGGCCCAGGAACGAGTAGCAGCCACTCCAATCAAAGTACGAACAGTAGTCATGTGAGCAACGGGAGCAAAAGTCTCATCATAATCTCGCCCCTGAGTCTGCTGAAAGCCTCTAGCAACAAGACGAGCTTTATATCTCTCAATGGAACCATCTGACTTGGTCTTAATCTTAAAGACCCACTTACAGGTGATGGGCACGGCATGTGATGGTAATGGAACAAGATCCCAAGTGCCAGTACGATCAAGTGCAGCAAGTTCCTCTGACATAGCCAGTGGCATCTGGAATACTCGAAGCTTCCTGATAAGCTGAGGGCTCATCAATAATAGCACCCGCACGTGGAAAGCCCAACTTATCAGGAGGCACAATAGTAGCACGATCACGTAAATTATATCTCTGGCCAACCTCAGATTCTCCAGGAATGGCATGTGACACATCAGGATAAAAGAATCATCTAGGACGGGAGCATCAGGACTGGCCACTGAAGTAGAATGAGGCGGAAGTGTAGTGTGACCTTTGGAACGACGAGTATAGACTTGTGTGATGGGTGTTTTATGTGGTGGACATCAAAATTAGGTGGTGCAGGATCATCATGAGTGGAAGATGGAGAAGAGACAGGGACATCATCATCAAGAAAAGAAATAGGAGGAAGACATAAGAATGACGTGGACTCTGAAGAAAAGAAGAAGATATGGGAGGAGTGGTAGGGTTATAAAAGAAAAGACGGTCCTCAACAAAAGTTACATCACGAGATATACGCATGCGACGAGCGGAAGAATCATAACAACGATAACCCTTATACTCAGAACTATATCCCAAAAAGACACACTCAACCGACTGAGCAATCAGTTTAGTGCGCTCACGAGGCATGTACATCCGAAAACCCGAAGATGATCATAGCTAGGGGGAATACCAAAAAGAACCTCACCAGGACACTTACCAGACAGTTTGGAAGACAGTTGTCGGTTGATAAGATAAACAGTTGTAGACATAGCTTCTCCCCAAAAATGGGAAGGAACAAATGAGTCGATGAGAAGGGTTCTAGCAGTCTCAATAAGATGGCGGTGTTTTCTTTCTGCAACACCATTCTGAGCATGTGCACCAGGACAGGAGAGTTGGGCAAGAGTGCCCTCAAAGGTCAAAAATTGACGAAAAATGTTAGACATATACTCACCACCAGAATCAGAACGAAAAACACGAATAGGAGTAGAAAACTGAGTATGAACCATGCGAGCAAAATCTTTATAAATGGAACACAACTGAGAACGATGTTTGATAAAATAAACCCAAGTATATCGAGAATGATCATCAATAAAAAAGCAAAATATTTATTTCCACCGTTTGTAGGAAAAGGGGACGGACCTCATACATCAGAGTGAATAAGATCAAAAGGTCTAGCAGAATGAGAAATACTAGTAGAATATGAGAGTTGCAGCTGTTTTCCGAGCTTGCAACCCTTACAATGAAAACTATACTCGATAGACGTACGACCTAAACAATCAGTACTAATCAAAGTAGGCAAACGAGACACACTCAAATGACCAAGGCGATTATGCCACTTGGCAAAAGATGAGGTGGAAGACGAGGCAACGGATGACACACGAGCGGTAGAACCAGTGGAAGAGGGAAGATGTAAAGTGTCTAAGACGTAAAGGCTCGAAGAACCTTTACGGCGATGGCCAGTCCCAATCACAGCCCCGCTTCGACGATCCTGAATAAAACAAGATGATTTGATCAGTTTTGATCAGTGACCTGACCAACGGAAAGAAGATTCATAGATAATTTAGGAACATAAGAGATATTAGACACTGAAAAGCGTGAATTGCAGAGAGAACCCTCATGAGTGATATGGCAAGAGGTGCCATCAGCTGTCTGAATAGAAGTACCATCGGGAACTGCCTTGCACGCAACCAACTGGGAGTGATCAGATGTCACATGAAAATTGAAAAGATGCTCCAAAATCGAGGATCCAAGACTGAGGAGCATGGACAGGATAGGTAGCAGCGACAGAAACAAACCCCTTTGTAGCAGAAGTCGTACCACGAGCCCGAGCAGCACGGCGCGCACGATACTCAGCCAACTTTTCTGGATGCTGAGTAAAACAGTTCTCGTGACTGTGACCGGTCTTCCCACAATGCTTACAAAGATCTGGAGAGTCACCTCTGGGGGTATTAAGCCGTTGAGAAAATGTCCTTTGAGGAGCTGCCAGAACATTCTGCGATACAGACGACGGAGCAACTGACAGAGAATGGAGACGAGTCTTCAGCAATCAAATCAGATAATGCCTGAGCCATGGTCAGAGTAGAGGAGTTATGAAGCAACCGTTTACGAATGGACTCAAATTCTGCCTGACTCCCATGACAAAGCGATAAATAAAGAACTTCTCAACAAACTTATGTGCTGAGCACTCCTCCGTCGAGCACTGAGATACCATAGAGATCAATGGTCCCATCAAACGATCAAAAGCAGAGTAGTATTCATCAATGGACATGGAGTTCTGTTCAATCACGTGAATTTGTTGCATAAGGGTGTGTAAGAGAGCACCACTATCCTGAACATAGCGCTGCTGCAAATAAGACCACATTCCTTTGGCTGTCCGAAATGAAGAAAGGCTCTGCTTGACACTGTTGACGATGGCAGCCATCACTTTTCCATCATTAATCTGCCATATTTTGATTTCGGCAGCATTGCTATTATCAGCCTTCCTTTCGGGTCCATCATCAGTCAAGTGAAAAGCCAAATCGTAACCCCTCAACACGGTTTCAACCGAGAAAGCCCACTCCCGATAATTCTGACCATCAAGAGTAATATTGATAGCAATTCCATGAAGTTGCGACATGATTCGACAAACACGTAGTAACAAGCCGAGACGAAGTATGAATGAAAGTGCTGCGACGGGCAGCGTTGGAGCACACGATAGACGAGTGACAGCAAAAAAAAAAAAACAAAATT